TTCATTTAACCCTTTAAGCTTTAACACAATTTGTTTTATTTTGTTATAATGCATTATATGACTCCAGCTACTTGCAACACATTGCACAAACCACAATGAAGCAAGTCTGCAGTGAGTAAGGAGTTTATAAGGAGTTATAAAATTATCCCAGTGAGCTGTTTTTGAGGTCTTACATTCGTGTTTCATTCTGGGTATCTGTTTACAATGGAATAATTGAACAGTTGTTACTGATTGTGTGGAATTGGGAAACTTCTAATTGGGAATGTAAAATTTTCCCCAGCATTCAAAATCACGATGTAATCGTTTTTTGGGAACACAAGATTCTTTCTCCATCTAAACAGGATTTTTGTACTTTAGAATGTTTCTGCTTATGTCACTATCATAGCACCTCATATTCTGGATATATCCTGGATGGTGGGACAAGGGGTACTTAAGGCTAATCCCCTCAGAGGAACAATGCAGCCTTCCAGGGATGATCCTCCATCTGAATGCAGTAATTAGCTGGTTCTCAGGATTCATGATCATAAACTGCAGTGGTCAGTTAATGATATTTCTTGTCCCAGAGTTATAGGCAACTTGTCGATCAAATATGCTTTCTTTCCAGATTACCTTTTCCTTCATCTCCCCACTACTTTTCCTGTTGAACTAAGACTCATCCATAGTGGCAAGTTAGGTATGATTCACGAAACTGCTACTGAATCTTCTACCAAAATTCTTGTCTGAACATTAAATCATTAACAATATGTGTAGAATTGGAACAGACCGTTTTCCTTTAGCTTCTTCAAGTGATGTAAGATATAAAAGAAGAAGAAATAGTTTTTGCCATTCAGTTATACTTGATACCCAAGGAAATGATAAATGTAGCAACAGATGCCTGGACCATAAAGCCAGTGTAGATTAAGTTTATCTCAAATTCCTCCCTTGTGGAATCTCATGGTATTTCCTGTTTCCTTACACCCCTTTGCTTCCCCAATCCCACTCTAGTAGGATCAGAAAGCTTATTTGTTCCTAAGGGAATTTTGTCTTGGGAAAAATTCAGGAAGTCAAATTCCATTTTGAATTACCATATTTAAAGAGCATGGTGGCCGACTTCACACAGCATTTCACATCACAACCAAAGAAACCATATGATTTACCGTATTGTGTAAAATCAATCCCAGGTTTAGCATGATATTTGAACTAGATCGTTATTTGACATTTGCAATATAATTGTGTAAAAATTAAGGACTAAATGCCCATTATTCTTCCAGCTATTAGATTTTTCTATAGAAATAACCAAGGTGTTTCAGTGATGGCTTTTCTGATTTGGACCAAACCTGTGTTTTCCAACCACAGCAACTTCCAGGTATGTCAATCAATTTCCAGAATTCTCAATGAGGGCCATGTTGGCTATGGAATTCTGGGATTTGAAGTCCACACAGTTGGAAATTGCCAAGTTTGGGAAACAGTGTACTAGATATCATTAAGGAGTATGTATGTTTCTGTGACTCTACCCTATATTTCTTTGGATAAAGTCCTTTTACAAAGCCCCTATTGCAAAACTTCTATCCTTAAGAAAAATTTAGCAGGGATGAATTAGGGCTGGAGATCTTCCTATTAAGAAGTTCGTTGAAACAGGAGGAAATGTTTTAAAATGTCAGCTATTCCAGGAAATGGATGTGGCACATGTGATTCCTATGGAGAATTTTTAAAGGCACTTACAAATATTTCCCATTGGAGGGAATGTATTTGAGAATTAAAACATGAAACAAAAATGTAGGCTTTCTTACCCTAGCTTTTGAAATCATAATTTCTATTAATCCCCTCAATGTGGTGGTCATACTTAATGAGGCGGATGGAAATTTTAACTCCAAAAATCTGTGAGACATTAATTTGTGGAAAAATGTCACACAGAATCTGCAGTCCAGAAATCAGTATCCATAGCAAAAGATAAATATATTGTATGGGTGTTACTTTTTCCCTCTTACAAAATTGGGTGAGTTTCATAAAAAAATCTGATGTCACAAAATAGATTTCGATCCATGGGATCCTCCTAGAATTTCTTTTAAGTTTGAAATTGGCTGTCTTGAAATCTAGTTTGCGCATATGACTATGCTCTAATTTCTCTTTCAGTAATATTCTAAACTCCATAATAATACGATCACTTCCCCCAAGGTTGCAACTGTCTTTATTTCTTCAACAAACTCTTCCCTATTGGTTAGACTTGAATCTGGCAGATCCCCTTGTTTATTCTTCAGCTTTCTAGAAAATGAAACTATCAGCAAGATCAGTGAGATATTTTGGAAACCCTGCCATCTTGATTTTTCCTAACAATATCTGAATCTCCCATTCCCATCCCTAGGTTTCGCCTCCACAAATGTTCTATAATATGATTCATGAGACCTGCCTAGTTTGATAAATCTATAGCAACCTCTCCCTCCCCACACTCACAATATTTTCCCCTTTCTTATATTCTTATCCAAACAATCTCAATTGTGCCCTCATGCTCAAATTAATCAACAATAGAAAATAGGATAGGATAGGATAGGATAGGATAGGACCTGATGGAACTCCCAGAACTTCTGGAGGCAAGCTATTCCATTTATTAACCATTCTCGTTGTCAGGAAATTAAGGCCACTCCTGTTTCATTGGCCTCTGGTGTGTTTCCCTTTGGAATATCTTGTATCCTTCAATCCTTGGATTCTACTGAGTTTCATCCTTTACAGCAAGGGTCCCCAATCTTGACAACTTTATGACTTGTGGACTTCAACTCCCAGAATTCCTCAGCCAGCATGTGCTGACTGAGGAATTCTGGGAGTTGAAGTCCACAAGTCGTAAAGTTGCCAAGGTTGGAGACCCCTGCTTTACAGGATCCTGTTTGATAATGTATGGAATAAACATTTATGGAGGCTGAGAATGATAGGAAATGTAGTCCATTATAACTGGAAAGTATCAAAGCAAAGGAAGGCTAGTTTACTGTTTCCATAGAGTTTACAAATAATATTTGAATTCTGTGGGAGAAAGAGCAGGGCTCTTTTGGGTGTGGCTAGTCCAAAAATGAATATTTGGGTTACGCTGATGGATTGTCTACATCAAAAGTTGAATCATTTTGGATGTTTCCATAGTAATAGGTGACTCATGAGAATGAAGAAATAGTACAAGATGAAAGACGCAGAAAGGATGTGTAGGAAGTTAGCACCCACCCCTTTCCTAGAAGAATGAAAAAATGTGGGAAATATTAAAAAGGCAGAAATTTGTTTCCCTGGATGAGAAATGGAGAAGCATGTTTTAAAGACGAAGCAGCTCCCACCTTCCTGCCCCCCAACCCTTTGTCAATGGGCCAGAGGCAGAAACTCAATCTTTGTCAATGGACCATCATCTGCAACACAATAGGACCCATCTAGCAACAGAAACTCACCACATGGCACCTGGGAAGATTACATCATCCAGCAAGGCTAGCTAAGACCCCCCACCCCCTGGGAGTCTGACAACCAATCAGGATACTCTTTCTGTGCCCCAGGAAGTTCAAAGCCAGAGAGGGCATAAAACCTGGGGACTCACTGCGTCTCGGCCCTTTTCTGTTCAGGAACTCAAACCATGTGATCCTGTCCACCATTAAACCATCTTTCCAAGCAGTCTCCATGTTTCCAGTGTTTTTTTCCCCACTTGGAGCTGAATTCAGAAGGATAGTTCTTCCTACAGATGTAAGGAAGAAGTCCATCATGGAACTACTAAGCTGTTACGTACATTTATTCATGCCTCTATATGCCAGCTGGGATAAGGAACTGTAGCTCACAGGTAGGTTATATGCTTGTCCTAAGTTTCAGATTAAAATAATAAAAAGGTAAAGATGCTGTGGAACTCAGCTTCAGCTTGATTTATTCATTTTATTTATTTGAATATTTTATATGGACACCCATCTCACATGTAACTCTGGGCTGTGACAAGTTAATTTATCAGCAATCATGAAGATAAATAACAATAATGATCAGTAGTATACATTACGATGATTTTGAGGTCTGAATAAAAAAAAAATGCTATGAGACTGCAACTGCAATTATCTTGACAACCTTATAGAAGTGATTTGCTATTGCTTTCCTTTCAGTCTCTGGATTTCCAACCTGGGATTCCTAGAGGGTCCCCCATCTAAATAGTAAGCAATTATGCTTTTGCTTAATAATCCAATAAAATAACCTGGCAGCACAAGACATTTATAAACTGAGAATAGGACAAGAAAATCCATCTGATGATGTTACCTAGTGTGGTAACCAAACGTTCAGAAATTAAACTGAAACAAGCTTGGAGAGCAAACCACTGCCAAAATAATGGGTATTATATATTTCAATATATCTGAATGTCACCAAATTGGGGAAAGTTCTCCTTGATTGCGCACATCCTATGAATCTAGCATGAACTGTGCAGATGCACTTACTATAATCACACCGTACCATATCAAATCTGGGGTGCAAATATCCGAGTAACCGCTACAAATAGAAGGCAAGGAATACAGCGAACTCTGGCTCTTTGCTGCCATCTAGTGGTCATTGAAATTTTTCATCACCGACCAGGCCCACAACTCCCAGAATTCCTTGCCTGCGTGAACCACGACAAGGCTAAACAGGAATTATGGGAGTTGAAGTCCAATAACCTTATAGGCTTAACTTCGGCTTAAAATCATTAAAACCATTTTACAGTGGTATAATTTAAAGCGGCTAAGAAAAACCTTGCTTAGAAAACTGCAGGCAGTCTCCGAGGCTCGGAAACGACTGAATGGGGGGTGGGGTGGGGGGAAATGCTACACCCGCCGAGAATCCGCATGACTGTGGCGAAACGGCATGTATTTCCTGAGACCATTTTATATGACGGGAAAATAAACGCGAGACTCTCCAAAACAGTGATCAGGATGGGGGTGGGGAAAAGATTTTAAAAACCAACGGGGAAACAACGTACCAAGCGTTAAAAAAAAAACAATGCCACGCATGCGCGCCCCCGGGTGGACGGGCATATACCATTTTCCCACCTCGCGAGGGTAACGAAGTGAGGCGGTGCAACGATGAAGGCTTCCGATTGGTCGCTTTCACCACCCTTGTGTCTGAAAGGAGAAGCTTCGCACAATCCTCCCGGAGTTGCCACGTCGGTTGAGTTGCGCCTGCGCGCTGAGAGGTTAGCCGGAGCTTGCCTGGAAGCCGGTATCGTGGGGGAGCGGGAGAGTGCGCGCGACGGAGGAGAAGCGCGAGCGAGGGAGTCCGTTAGGGGGTGAGTGAGTGACGTGCGCGCGCGGTGGTTCGGTGGGTGGGTGGGGGAGATGGTGAGGCGGGAAAAGAGGGAGTTTCTCGCGGGCGACGCTCCTAGTCCCGTTATCTGCTTTCCCAACGGAAGGTGCGCTCGCCGGTTAACAAGAGCGCCTCTGACCATGTGCAGAGCGGCTTCCTTTCCTCGGATCTGACCTTGTCCTCGCTAGCGTGTCGTTCCTCCTGATTGTGTGTGTGTGGGGGGGGGGCAGTTTCCTCTGAGCGGCCCGGCAAACGCCGCAGTTCGGCTTTCTCCGGGATTCCTGCGGGGTCGGAGCGGAGCTTCGATGAGGAGGAGTCCCAAGAGGGTCTCTAACCTCCCGGGGGACCTTTGGGCCTTTGGTGGACCCGAGAGGTCGCTCCGGGTTGCTTAAGATGCCCGAAAAACCCCCACCCCACTCGGGATCCTGGAAGGCATCCTGGGTGAGCCTGGCCCGTTATTTAAATTATATTCAATATTTACATTATCCTTAAAAGCTAAAATGGCAAGGGTCTCTTGTTGCTTTCTCTCTCTTTCTTTTCACAGAGATTTAAGAATCTAAGGGCAGTCAAGACTTCTAAATGTCCACCTTCTGGTCTATCTGTAATGCTATGGATCACATAATGCGAGCTCAGGAAAAGCAGTTTTCTCTGTCGTTTGTAATCAGTTTGTACATAATTAGTTAACTCTCAAGTAACTGACAAATAAGAATGCAGAATTATAGCAGTTCATTTCCTTGTTTGCTTTTCCATTGCTTGTGCACACCAGATGCACAGAATATTTGTAGCTCAGGATTGAACTGTGGGGTTCTTTGGTGCTCTCTGAGTTTGGCTGTTTTCTTTCATTACCAAAATGGGTAACCCCATTAATGCTAGTAGGGAGTGGAGTTTATTCTTTTTTATATACTAGTGGCTTGCCCTGCTAGTATTGGTGGGAGTGGTCTTAATGGTTCCTTGGTTGGAACCAAACTCAAAGAGCATCAAGGACCCCACAGATGCTTCCATGTCCTGTAATAAAAGTGTTACAAGACTTTTATCTTTTATCCTGTGCTGGGTAAACTGCCCAGAGTCGCTTCTCAGAATGAAATTGGTGGCGTATCAATTAGATAAATATCCTCAAAATTTCTTTTGAAATAGAGATTTTTTTTAAAAAATCCGATAAATAGTTATTCCTGCCATGACACATCATAAGACACTCTTAAAAGAGTACTTGGTTTCAAAAGTTGCATGGAAATGCAGTAATTAAACACAGGCAAAGAAATAGCTTTTGTGGTCTTTCAATCCTGGTCTTTGCATGTGGCATTCTGTAATTAAGAGAAGCTGTTCATTCATGGACCATATTGTCTTGCTTGTAGTCTTCTGGAACTGCATTTGAGTTTGCTCTTCATTCTGTAATTGGTTAGATGTCTGTGAATTGTACCTCTCCCAACCACTCCCGCCTTATTGTACATAAGATGCTTCATTAAAGAGTTGCTAAGAATAAGCATAAATTAGTTATGTTTCAAGTTCAGTTTGAAAGGTTGTCTGAATGTCAAGCCATTTGTGCTTTTTCTGTGGTGATCAAAGGACTGATGGTCATCTTACCTACTTCACACATCCTCTGAATGGAGATGGCACTGTGCTGAGCTATTGCATGCCACGGGGCTACATTGAGATTTTATTTTATTAATTTCTTCTCCCATGAACCTTCCTTGAATTCAGTTTTTCTTTCTATGGTGTCTCCTACCACAAAAATGTTGTACTAGGATTGTTTACAGAGGTGGATAGTCCTGATTTCTCTTACAGTTGCAAGAAAAAGTATGTGAACCCCTTGGGATTACGTGGAGTTTTGCATGAATTGGTCATAAAATGTGCTCTGAACTTCATCTAAGTCACAACAATAGAAAAACACAGTCTGCTTAAAATAATACTACACAAACATTAGATGTTGCCATGGTTTAATTGAACATAACATGTAAACATTCACAGTGCAGGGAGGAAAAAGTATGTGAACCTTTGGACTTAATAACTGGTTGACCCTCCTTTGGCAGCAATAACCTCCTGTAGTTGCAGATCCTGTACGTTTCCTGTAGTTGCAGATCAGACCTGCACAACGATCTGGAGTAATTTTGGACCACTCCTCTTCACAAAAGTGTTTCAGTGTAGCAATATTCTTGGGATGTCTGGTGTGAATCGCTCTCTTAAGGTCATGCCACAGCATTTCAGTCGGGTTGAGGTCAGGATTCTGACTGGGCCACTCCAGAAGGCGTATTCTGTGCTGTTGAAGCCATTTTTTTGTTGAATTACTTGTATGCTTTGGGTCATTGTCCTGTTGCATCACCCATCCTCTGCGGAGTTTCAGTTGGCAGACAGATGGTCGTACGTTTTCCTGCAAAATGTCTTGATAAACTCTGGAATTCATTTTCCCATCAATGACAACAATCCGTCCAGGCCCTGAGGCAGCAAAGCAACCCCAAACCATGATGCTCCCTCCGCCATGGGGGGGATGAGGTTTTGATGTTGGTGTGCTGTGCCTTTTTTTCTCCACACATAGTGTTGTGTGTTCTTCCCAAACAACTGAATTTTGATTTCATCTGTCCACAGTATATTTTGCCAGTAGTGCTGTGGAACATCCAGGTACTCTTTTGCAAACTTCAAACGTGCTGCAATATTTTTTTTTGACAGCAATGGCTTCCTCCGTGGTGTCTTCCCATGTACTCCATTCTTGTTTAATGTTTTCCTTATTGTAGATGTGTCAACAAAAATGTTAGCAAGTGTCAGAGATTTCTGTAGGTCTTTAGCTGACACTCTAGGATTCTTCTTTACCTCATGAAGCATTCTGCGCTGTGCTCTTGCAGTCATTTTTACAGGACGACTACGCCTAGGGAGAGTAGCAACAGTGCTAAACTTTCTCCATTTGTAGACAGTCTGTCTTACCGTGGACACATGAACATCAAGGCTTTTGGAGATACTTTTGTAACCCTTTCCAGCTTCATGCAAGTCAACAATTCTTGATCGCAGGTCTTCTGAGAGCTCTTTTCTGCGAGGCACGGTTCACATCAGACAGTGCTTCTTGAAACCAGTAAACCCAAAACAGGTGTGTGTTTTTAAAGGGCAGGACAGCTGTCAGCAACACATCCAATATCATCACACTGATTGGAGTCAAGGTTGGCTCACTCCTGGCTCCAATTAGCTCTTGGAGAAGTCATTAGGCTAGGGGCTCACATACTTTTTCCTCCCTGCACTGTGAATGTTTACATGTTATGTTCAATTAAACCATGGCAACATCTAATATTTGTGTAGTATTATTTTAAGCAGACTGTGTTTTTTTATTGTTGTGACTTAGATGAAGTTCAGAGCACATTTTATGACCAATTCATGCAAAACTCCACGTAATCCCAAGGGGTTCACATACTTTTTCTTGCAACTGTATGTAATATATTTTCAACATCCTGTTGCATTGGAAAGAATGAAGGTGTGGTCTTGGGTAGAAATAAATCCCAGTTGGTTCAAAGAGGCTTATTCCAAACTGGGGAAAGAATAAAACTGTATTTTGCCAATGCCGTCAAGTCATTCTTGACTCTTGGTAAGCAACTTTCTTGGCAAGATTTTTGGAAGTGGTTTGCCCTTGCCTTCTTACTGGAGCTGAATGAATGACTGGCCCCACTTACCCAGTTGGCTTTGTGCCTAATAAAGGACTAGAAATCAGAATTCAAGTCTCTGTGATTCTAGCCTAGTACCTTAAATCACTACATCAAAATGACTCTCAGTTTAATATTACCCTACCTGTTTTATTCTTTTTTTCTGAAAATAAATGTATCTGACTAGATAGTAAATATAATTTGCAGCAAAGTCCTTGCTGCACGCGCATGTGTCTTCGGCTTCGTGCTTGTGCAAGGGCACAAGCACAAAGCCGAAGACATTACATACATAGGTATATGTATATTTATATATAAATTATGCAATGCTTGGAATGTTTAAACCTAAGATCCTGTTATACTTTAGTTCAACAAATATATCTAATGATAAGTAAATATTGCATTAATATTTACTTTGTTGCATTATAGCCATCCTTGCCCAACTATTGAGTGGAATGTATCAGTTTAATATTTTAATTTTAACTAAAGGCAAAAATGAGCTAGGTAGCTAAAATTTAAACAAGGGAAGCCCCAGGTCTATATTTTTTCTCTGCACATAGACACTAGTTCAAATGATCCTTTATGTATTCTAGTACATATATCATGTTTCTTAACCAGAAAGTGGATGCTAATTTGAAAAGATTTTGCACAAGGTAAAGTGATCAGTGGAGATATACTGTAGATGAATTGAAAAGTATTTGTGAATTGTTATTGTGAATGATAATGTGATAAAAAATTAAATGATAGAATCCCTTCCTTCTCCAATTTTACAATATTGACAAATGTGTGAATTAAGGTGTAATTCACTTTCCATGGTTCTTGCTTCTATTTCAGTTGCCATGATGCCTGCTGCAATAAAAAAACTCGAGAGCACACCAATGTATGATCCTCACCTTCTTAAAGAACTTGATTGGACCCAAAATACTGCAACATTTTCTCCTGCTATTTCTCCCGAGGATCCAGGAGAGGGTTTAGTTCTAAGACCTCTTTGCAGTGCTGACATTAACAGAGGTACCGTATTTACTTACTTTGAACTATGTTTTGTGGTTGAATTAAATAGGAATGATTGTGTGAAATTGCAAGTTTATTGACATAAACCTTAGAATTGCTAGATTCTATTAGCAGAGTAAAAGGAATAAGCTTCAAAGCATTTGTTCTCTTAATCCAGATAAAATTCAGAAACAATTCAGATGATGACTTTCGAGTGGAGAACAGTAATCTTTTGAAGCTGAGAATATGTAGCATTTAAAAAAAAAACTTTTTATGACCCTATGGTCCCTATTCAGCTTAAAAGATACAACAGAATCTGAATATTTTTATTCTCTGCATCTTTAAATATTTTTGTGGGGTTTATTGTTTATTACTGTTTACAGAATGTCATGGTGTTGGTTCTATTATATTATTTGTGGAGTTTTATTTTCATTCTGTACTCTATTGATGGCTTTGTCTAAGGACATCCTAAAGTATGAAAACATTTTTTTTTAGGCTTTTTAAAAGTTCTAGGTCAACTGACTGAAACTGGAATTGTTAGCCCCCAGCAATTCCTTGGTGAGTATCTCTTTAATTTTTTGCTATTGGAAAAATGGAAAGTCAAATTCAGTGGCAGAAATGCTGTAGTGATTAACTCCTTAAGATACCCCTTTTAAAAGTTTGGAAAAATAGTTTACATTACCACTTAAAGTTTCCTGTATTTTGATCATGGGTTGGAAGAGGATAAAACACCTATTTTGCCCAGAACCCACCCCTAAAAAAATTGCCCATTTTTTAATTTTCTGTGTTGCAGGTGGATTGTGGGAGTGAGGGATCAATTGGCTCCTAGGCTCCATAGCTCTGGCTTAGATAGCAACTGAAGTAATTACAGTTTGTGGGCACTCTGCCAGTTTGACCATGCTGTCAATACACATGCTTGCCTTTCCCATAGAATCCTCTCACAATCCTATTCATCTGCTTGTCCCAGTTCAGGTGCAGTGCATCCTGAGCTAGCAAACATGACAGAGCTGCAAGAAAGCCTGATACTGAGGAACTATTGAATCCATTACCAATAGTATTCGTATTCCTGCCTACATTTCCACAGAAAATTTCGAACACATGCGGAGTTCTGGGGACTACTATGTTACAGTTGTGGAAGATACTAAGCTAGGAGCGATTGTAGCTACTGCAACCTTAGTCATAGAACATAAGTTCACTCACTCATGCGCAAAGGTATGTACACTGAAGAAAAAGTACGCATTCTGGATACATTCTGGAACTTGACCTTTTAAAATGGTATTAATTTATTTTCAGAGGGGCAGAATAGAAGATGTTGTTGTAAGTGGAGATTGCAGAGGAAAACAGCTTGGGAAACTGTAAGTAATTCATATTTGTGATTACTTATAATTAGGAACTTTTAAAGAATGTCTAGAGGCCTCTTAAATGCTAACAAAATTCTGTGAGCAAACACATTCTACATGCCAAACCTCTGGTATTCACCTGGCATATAGGTAGCACTTTGCAGGTAATTCAAAACTAGTTTCATTCTAGCCAGCTGCTTCCTTTTGAGGAAGCAAGTTTCCAGTCATCTAAAGTTTGCCCAGCACTGTCATTGTAGCTATCATTTGATAGTAATAGTAGTGGGTATAAATGGACATGCCCCCTTACTAGATGCAGTCTCAAATAGTTGTCCTCACATCCTGCAAAATTAATCTTTATTTCTTTTTATTGTCTCTTTTAAAGATTGATGTCAACTCTTACATTGCTAAGCAAGAGACTGAATTGCTACAAAATTACTCTCGAGTGTCTGCCGAAAAATGTAGCTTTTTATACAAAGTTTGGATACTCAGTATCTGAAGAAAACTATATGTACCAAAGGTTCTTCAATTAAAGAATTTCCTGCTGTCATCTCTTTTAATCAACTATTGGTGGAGGAGCTTGTACTACTGACTTCTCTTTTCGGAAAGCAAATTCCCTGCAAATAAATAATGAATAGATATGAGACTACTATGCTGCAGACTTTGTTTTTAGGGTTCCTTGTTACCAAGGTAACCTATTATAAGAAGTTTCCTATTCAGCAGTATATTGTTTTTGATAGCTAGGACATGAGCCATCTTTGCAAGGTAAGGATGCTTTCTAGCCCAAAGTAATTGGATGGGTTTTGTTTCCTTACCCTACACTTTTCTGTAATGTGCTGCTTTTTGTTGGCAGCTGAATAGTAACTAGTATGTTGGAAATGTTTTTGTAATTTTTTGTCACAAGGAAAAAACTTGCAAGTTTTATCTTTTATGTTGACCTTTAATGCACTTCAAAATGGATAATCCCTAGTATAGATGTGTAGCTTGGTTTTATTGGTTCTATTGCACTCACAATGGAGAGAAATTATTACAAGTGGCATTCTATGCTTGGGCTGATACATTGAAATACCTCATCTTCACCTTTTCCAACTTGGTGCCCTTTAGATATGTTCAACCAAAGGTCTTACCATCTCCAGTCAGTACTGTTTCCCAAAACATTGGGAAGTCTGTTTTGAACCATTTCAAAAATTGAAGCAAAACTTGGATATGCAAAATTTATCAATTTTTAAATATATACTTTCTGTAAAATATATACCGTAGTTTCACAGAGATATTTTGTGCTTAAAATCTTATTTGCATTAAGTATAATTATTGTCTGCTAATGTATTCGGTAGATCCTACAAAAACTTTTCATTGTGCTTTCATTTTTGTTTTAGAAGAAATAATTTAGCGCTTTGTTTCATTATACACATACCATGTTGGCTTATCCATTCTTTAGAAGTAACCAGGACTATGTCTAAAGTGGGCTCTGTTTCTACAGAAGAGTTTTTAAAGACAGTTTCTGAAGTACAAGGCATCCATATGTCCCTAAAACTCTTCTAAAAATGCAAAATTCTAGTTAAACAATGAGCACTTCTAAAGGAATGCAGATAGGCCAGAAGAGTACTAACTTTTAGTACCCCTGCATGTTTTTGGATGGTAACAAGAACAACTCCCCATTTTCCTGTAATTTTGAAGGAAATAACTATAATGGGCATTATAAATAAGGTTATGTGGTAAAGTCTACTATAATGATTAGCTTCAAAAATTGAATCACAGATAGCTACAGAAAATAGGGATAGTTATTCCATTTCATATTTTAAGGTACTCTAATTCTGAAGGTATTTGAATATTATTTATTCAATATTTTACAAAAAAAATTGTGAAACCTAAATAAATGGGGTTTGTGATTATTTTGATGTATTGGTTCTCTTCTGATATTTTATATTTTATAATTTGGGAAATGTTATTAAAGCGATCTGTTTTAAATGAATATTGGATAAGGAATATTATATTACTTCTCAAACTACTGTGTTTCCCCGAAAATAAAACCCTGTCTTATATTTTTTTGATCCCCGAAATAAATGCTTGGCCTTATTGCCATGCGCTCAAAAGCACGATTGGGCTTATTATCAGGGGATGTCTTATTTTGGGGAAAACAGGGTAGAAGCAGCATTGTCTGTGATGAATCATAAATTGAACTGTACAACTAAACATGAGTTCATTGTCTTATGAAAATTGCTGATTCAGTTTCACATATCAAAGAAGAAAAAGGTACATTTGGTGTGTGTGTGTGTGTGTATTTCCACCTGCCAAGAATATCAATTTATTTTGAGCTGTCTACAAGTGCTGTTTAATTAGTCAGATACAAGGATTTTCTCCAAAGTATATTTTTACAGCTATTTTATGCTTTTCTAAATTCTGCTGTTATTGGATGAATAAGCACATATTCCATCAACCATCCCCATCCTAAGCAGAATAATCAGTGTTTCAAATTCTGATTAAAATAAAATGCTTCCGAAACCTGGGTATATTATTCCAAATTGGGTAAAGCTGGTTTTTCTTTAGGTATCAACACATGAACCTATTACTCATCACAACAAAGACATTTAACTTGTCTTTGTTGTCACATGATTGTCACATGTACTAAAATATATATGAAAGTCTCCCAAAATATTCTTATGAAGACGAAAATTGAAATTGCCAATGGTAATTTGTTGAAATGACATGTCAATCATTGTCATTTTATAATACAGATAGTCCACAAGTTACAACCTTTCTTTCAATGACTGTTTGAAATTACAATAGCACTGAAGGAAAGGGCATACATACAATCAGTCCTTGAAATTTAGTAAGACTTTGATAAGTGATTTTGGGTAATGAAAGAAAATGGGAAGCATTCTTGCAAATTTCTGCAACTTATTTGCTAAACAGAAAGAAAAAGAAAAGCAATACTAGCCTTTTTAAAAGTTCAAACAGTACATCTAAAGATTTCGGTTTTGGGCTGAATGGATATAGATATATGCTCCATTGATCTCCTTGAAGGTTGTATGGAATCAAAGTGTAAATTAACAGACATCAGATGTTTTTTCTAAAAGCTCACTGCTTTCAATTGTATCTAAAAATATTGTTGATTACTTGATTCAGATCTTTGCAGTTTGGCATTCATCAAGCGAATTTTGAAGGTTATTTCACTAGCAACAAGAATAATGACCCTGAGATATTAGGGATGAAAAACCGAACGAAATACTGAAAACAAGATATAGATAACTGATTATGTCTAGCTTGAAGGGTCAATGATTATATATCGATATTTGCCTGCTTGAATATTTTGTCGATTCCAACTAGAAAAATTGTCTTAGTCTTGCTTTTTGTCTGGAAGCCAAGTGTAGACAAAAATAAGTTTTCTTCATTTGAAGGAAAATATTCATTTTCTATTTTAATATATCAGTGATAATAATCCCTACTATTTTTATTTCAAGATAATCATAGCAGTTTAATCTATTTTCTTCTGCCTGAAGGCCCAAATTTAGAAAATGGAAAATACAACCCATTGTTAATTTAAGTATTTTTTTCTTTTTACTCTTTTTATAAATTACATAAAATGATATAAATAATAATCTCCCAACACATGTTTTGCTTAAGTAATAATTTTATCAATACAAATAAATTTCAAGTATGAAAAGTGCATTATTGCAATAATACCTCTTTGCAAGTCAAAAACTTTGGGGTAAGGGTAAAACTATAAAGTGTAAAAAAAAAACAATAAAACAATCAGTGCCTTCTAGTCAATCAAGGAATCTAATACCTTAAAAATGTTGCCTTGTATGCTACTGAAGGAACAGGTTTGCATAAGGAAGTTAGAATCATCTTCCATTTTTAAATTCATATCTGGTTGTTCATCTTGCCAAGATTAGAAGCTGCTATAAAACTCCCAACAATCAAGTCCAGGTATCTTCAGCTGTCAACCATTCTGAGCTGCTGCTTGTACACTGCTTTCTTCCTCCTCTTCATGTGTTCGTTTCAGACTTCCTATGAAGCAGGCAGTAAAATTCAAGAGATTAGGCAGTAAGAAAGATGTTTTCTAAGAAAAAAAATAGTTTGATAAGAATCAGACATTTTAAGTATTTTATTTTATCTGGCACATTAAAAATTCCTTAAGAATTTATTCTTAAAATGTGAAACAATTTTATATAAAAATATCCATGTTGAGCATACATAGAATAGAATAGAATAACAAGTTGGAAGGGCCCTTCGAAGTCTTCTAGTCCAACCTCCTGCCCAGGCAGGAAACCCTACACCACTTCAGACAAATGTTTATCCAACATTTATCAAGTCCGCCTGATTCGCCAGTTCCGTCCCTTTCTGGATCGGGACTCATTAAATACGGTCACTCATGCTCTTGTTACTTCCCGCCTGGACTACTGCAATGCTCTCTACATGGGGCTCCCCTTGAGGAGCACCCGGAGGCTTCAGCTGGTCCAGAATGTGGCCATGCGGGTGGTTATGGGAGCGGCGTGGCGTTCCCATGTGACCCCCCTCCTGCGTGAGCTGCACTGGCTCCCGGTGGTCTTCCGGGTGCGCTTCAATGTTTTGGCTACCACCTTTAGAGCGCTCCATGGCATCCGACTGGGGTATTTACGAGACCGCCTTCTGCTACCAATAGCCTCTCACCGACCAGTACGCTCCCATAGAGAGGGGCTTCTCAGGGTGCTGTTGGCCAAACAGTGTCGACTGGCGGCCCCCAGGGGGAGAGCCTTCTCTGTGGGGGCACTTATCATCTGGAACGAGCTCCCCCCGGAGATACGGAGGATCCTGGATCTGCGCACGTTTCGTCATGCTCTCAAAACATTTTTATCTCAGCAGGCTGGCCTGGCCTAACTCTCCCTTTTAAATTTTTAAATCGTTTAATCTGTTTTACAAATTGGGTGTTTTAAATTTGTTTTCAGCCAAAATATTTAATAATTTTAATGGACTTTTAATGTTTGTATTATCTGTATTTTATCTTGGCTGTTCACCACCCTGAATCCCCCGGGAGTAGGGCGGTATATAAATTTGAATAAATAATAATAATAATAATAACATCTTCTTAAAAATTTCCAGTGTTGGAACATCCACAGCTTCTGCAGGCAAGTTGTTCCACTTATTAATTGTTCTAACTGTCAAGAAATTTCTCCTTATTTCTAAATTGCTTCTCTCCTTGATTAGTTTCCAAAACTAATATATACTCCAAAAAATAAGGTACATCTCTCTCCTCTTTGAAAGTCATTTCTCTCCCCCAGACGTCTCAGAACCTCAATCAGAAAGTCTCTTTAGTGAAGTGTTACCTTAATTCATATCATAAACCACTTTTTCCTTTATTTTTTTCTTTGCTTTTTTGTTTTAAATATGTCTGTGGCAACTGTTATAACTAGAATTCACATGCTGCCCCATTTCTGAAGACACTGAATGGTTCACAGTATTATGGGAAAGGCAGAGTCAATCTTAAGAAGATAGTCCTAGTGATATCCAAGCCATGAAGATTTATTAAGGTGACAACCAGCAATTTGAACTGCATCCAGAAGCTAACTGGCAGCCATTGTGGCTTCCAAAGTACAGTTTTCCTCATAATATCAGCAATTGGGACCAGAATTTCCATCACTATGCAATGCAATTGTAAGTGTAATACCATGTGATCACATTGCTTAGCAATGGCAGTCCCAGTAATCACTGTTGCTATTGTTAAATGACTACCATGGATCTTTAAGGGCCTCACGTGACTTGCAACTTCTTGACTTGCAAGTCCCAGTCATAATAAACCATTCCTTAGGTGGCTTGCAAACACGCTGGCATGAGAGTGGGGAAGGCTGTGATGCAAGCACAGGAAGGCTGGGTGGACAGTGCATTGCAAGTATAGGAAGGCCAGGAATGGGTGGCATGCCTTGAGTGCAGGAAGTGCTCCTGGAGGGTGGATGGCATGAACACAGGAAGGCCAAATGGTAGACACTGGCATGAATACAGCCAGGTAGGCAGTCATCTGCCTGTCAGAGACCTGCACTCACTCTGCTGCCCAGGAGCTCCTTGGGAGGAAAAGCAGCAGAAGTGACTTATGAGAGTGACTTACAACCTTCCCTGCCAGCTTCTCCATTTATCTGGCTTGCGATAAGCCAGTGGAGAAGGTCACAAATCACAATCATATCATAAATAATAATAATAATAATAATAATAATAATAATAATAATAATAATAATAATAAGTTATTATTGTACTTGTATACACAGTATATCTATACAACGAAATTCACTTAACACCCAAAGACCAGGTCCGACACACATAACAATCCCCAAACACACTCCCACCCACAATTCCCCACCCCTAAACCACCCAAACATCCACACAACAGACCAAGTAATACTGTCCAACAGCTCACTGATGGTGGCCCTTTAGTTCATTGTTGAGTGCAATTATAGCTCTGGGATAAAAACTATTCAGGAAACGTGTGGTCCGAGTTTTAATTGTTCAGCATCTTCTGCCAGAAGGCAACAGTCTAAAAAGATGGTAAGCAGGATGGGAAGAGTATCTGAGAATGTTATGCAACTTTCTCAAACAGCGAGATTCAAAGATGTCGTCCAGGACTGGTAGCTGGAGTCCGATGATATTCTGGGCAGTTTTAATAATTCTCTGTAGAAGTGGGACTTCCAGTGGCACCGCAGGGGCCGAAGACGCTCCTTTTGTGAGCGCCAGCCCCGCGATCTCGTAAAGCCGCTAGAACAGCGCAAATCAGCTGTCTAGCGGCTTGAAAACTTTCTCCCTGGGAAAAGGGGAGGAAGAGAGCAGACGGGCATAGGTAGAGCTCCCCAAGGAGCCCCAGGAACAATTCTGGGGCTTGAAGGGTGAGAGCTCCCTGGAAGCCCAACAGAGCTCCGGATCCGGGACATTTCTGCTTTGAGCGGAAGAAGACGCCGCGACCACCCCTGCAAACAATGCTTGGAATAAACATCATTCGGAAGCAGGCTGAGCAAACTCAGGAGAGATCAGATTTGCAAGTACTGAACTTTTAACTCCAAATGTGTATAACTTCCTTCTGACTCATTAAGGGGAGAAAGTGAAACCAAGCTGACGATTGAGCTTTAATGGGGCATGAAAGCAAAAGTTAAAGAGGAAAGTTTCGTTTAGCGCTGGTAGCCCCTGTTCCAAATTAGAGATTTTTGCTTCAAAAAAAAAAAAAAAAGATTTAAGGCTAAAAGACTACAGCAGTGATTTTTCAAAAAAAAGGATTGATATTATTTAAAGACTGGGAATTTTTGGATTTGGTGGATTTGTTGTTCTGGCTGCTAAATAAATTCAAATTGGAAACTAAAATGGCTTCAAAACAAGTAAAGACTATTGTCCCCAAAAGTGCTGGGACCTCGCCAGCTCAAACATCCAAATTGCAATCTCTCTGTTCCAACGGAACCAACAATATTAACACTTGAAATGTTGCAGGAAGCCCTTAAAACACAAGCCTCTGTTACAGAAAAAAAATTACTTCAGTGTTTGAGGATAAAATTCGAGATATTGCTGAGGAGATAGTTCAAATTAAAGAGATTATTCAAAAGCGAAATCAAGAAATTAGAGAAGATATTATCATGGCAGTTTAAGGTCTGGCAGGCCATATTGAAGCAGTAGATGAAAAAATGGAAGAAATTAAGCAGTCTAATGAGAACTTGGAAAATAAAATGGTGGAGGTCCAGGATAAGATGGAAAGAGCAGAGGCTGAGGTGATAATGATACAATATAGAGATATGGAATTTGCTTTGAGAATAAGAGGCCTCAAAGAAAATAAGAGAATTTGAGAGAGATCTTTTCAGAAGCATTTGCACAGATAATGGGAGATCAAAAAGCAAATCTTGAATGGCAAATTGACAAAATTTATTGTGTCAATTCATGGGTTGCCAGACAGAAACATTTACCAAGAGACATTGTAGTCTATTTTACAACAAGGAGAATACGCAATGAAATCCTACAAGTCACTTTTAAAAATAAACTTCAAGTGCAGGGGCAGGAGGTTTTAATACTGAAAGAGATCCCCCCCAAAATGTTGAGAACCAGAAGGGATTATGCCTTTCTGGTGGAAGAACTGAGAAACCGTCAGATACAGTACAGATGGGAAGTTCCAGCTGGACTAGTGGTGAACTATTCAGGAGAAAGATATCGTCTTAACTCAGTGTGGAAGGCAAGAGATTTTTAAACCAATGTACTAAAGGCTGGATGCCCACAGCCCCCAGAAGCCAGAAGGAAGACGGAAGCAGAGGGGGCAGGAAAAGGGGAGAAGGAAGAAATGTTGGCACAGGCCCAAAAGGGAGCTTTGATTACTCAAGAAGAATTAATACAACTTTCGACTACTGTTCAAGTCTTGGAGATAGAAGAACCTAAGGATCAAAGACAGACCTGAGCGGCAGCCAAGCATCAAGAAGAATTAAGAGTGCAGCAACTTCAGATGATTCAAGACACTACAAATACAGAAGCAGTGGGAGGAGCAAGGCCAAAAAGTAAAATGCATGGAGATTTCCAGCAGATGCTCCAAAAGCTTCAGGGGGCCAAGAATGGCAACTAGATTTTTGACTTGGAATGTTAATGGCCTAAATTCACCACAAAAGAGGAGAAAAATATTTCATTATTTGAAATACTTTAAAAATGATGTAATTTGTTTACAAGAGACTCATATTAGAAGTAAAGATCAAAAATATTTAATAAATGCAAGGTTAGGTATACATTTCGTTGCATCTGCTCCTGAGAAGAAGAATAGTATAGTTATATACCTAAAAAAAAGATTTAATTGCTAAATTAATTGAAGCAGATGATCAAGGAAGATTTATAGCAATTGAACTTTTAATAAAAGGAGAAAAAATACTTTTAATTGGAGTCTATGCACCGAACCAACAACAGGAAAAATTGTATAAGCTTTTACATTCCAAGTTATTACAATGGGATTATAAATCATGTATCTTACTGGGCGATTGGAATGGAGTTTTGGACACTAAAAAAAATAAGAAGGGGCTCTTGCAGAATAT